AGCTCTGTAATTATGGTGTGTCAGCTCCATTTAACCAAGAGTGCTAAGAGACTGTTAAGGCTAAAGCAGCACAATGCAGTGTGAACTGTCCGAGTCTCCTGCTAACCCACTGGTGTCACTTTCATTTAATCAGAGGAGAGCCACGGGGCAGCGTCAGTGAGACTTCCAATACTGCAGCATTCATTGTCCACACTGGATTTTATGCTATTACCAATGTAAAATGGCTATAAAAAGATATACTTAAGAAGGTATTTTTAATCAATTAGTTCACCCAACAGAGGCCGAGTTCATCAGGTTTCACTAAAAGCTGGCTTTAAAGTTGTAAGTCACTTTTTATATTACATGGATTAAAACATTTTTCCTTGTAGAATCTCTGGAATTTATGACATAATCTAATAACAAACTTATTTTGTAAACACAAATCCTACTTGGAAATATAGAATAGACAAAGTTGTTTAGCTAAAATACCTCATCGTGACACAGAGTCAATAAAGTCCAAATTTTCCTCTACTTTAATGAAAATACTTCCTAATAAGTAATGTAGAATAAAGCTACTATGGCCAGGATTTGCATTTACATCACACATTTTAAATTAAGTAAGGCCCAATGTGTAAAGATTGACAGTATATAAGTGTACCACTAACGGCCTCCAAATAAATCACAACGTATACAAAGTAGAGATATGGGAGCTGGGTGCAGAGAAGATGACTAATCAACTCAGTTTACCTGAGATGTCACCAGTTTTAACAGAGAATGTTCCACATCCTAGGAAACTCCTGTCCAAGAGAATTAGGACAATAGATACCACCTATGTATCAATGGACAGACACCAGACAGATGATAGTAATTTCACAGATGTGCACTGACACAAAAACTGGGAATATTATTTGATCATTCCCTGCAAGGTTGGCCAGATTAGCTGTGACACATCACAGATACCTATAAATCTAGTAATCTGCAAAAATAAAACTAGAAAATAAAAAAATCTACATCTTTTAAAAAGAGCCAGCCAGACTATGCTAACTAGATTTTATCAACTTGGCACACTAGAATCACTCAGGAAAAGGAAAACTCAATTAAGAAACTGCTTCCATCAGACTGACCTGTAGGCACTTTGATGATTAGCCATGAGAACACCAAGCCCAGGGCAGTGCCACCTCTGGATAGTATATGAAAGCAGACAGAACAAGCCATGGGAAGCAAACCAGTGAGCGGCACTCCGCCATGGCCTCTGCTTTAGTTCCTGCCTCAAGTTCTTACCCGAGTTACTGCCTTGGCTTCCCACTGTGATGGACTGTTGTTACCTGGAAGATGAAATAAATCCTGTCCTACTCAAGTTGATTTTGGTAGTGGTGTTTACCATAGCAATACTAAGTGACTAATCATATCAACTGTAACTATCAGAACAACACACAGTAACTAATACACAGACCAAATCTATCAACAATGCCCACTGTTATCCAAGTACCACGTAATGCTTGGGACCAAACACGTTTCAAAACAAAGTTTTTCAGATATTGGAATGTTTATATAAACCTTACCAGTTCAACATCTATAATTTTGAATTTCAGATTTTCCAGATAGGAATGGTTTATACTGGGCCACATGTTAGCAAAGTTGATCACTCAGAGAAATGTCATGTAACTACTCATATCTAATGTGCAAGTCTATTTCCACAGCCTGAATTCATTCTAAAAAGAACAAGAAACCCTTGTGACTGAGAGGGCATACTCTCTCAGAGGCTCCACACCAGGCCAGCCTCACCGCTGTCCTGCAGTCATAAGTGGACTCTCCCAGTTCCTAGTGATCTATCCCCTCCTCTGGCTGTTACTGGATAAGGTAACATTTCTCTGGGTGGGGCACTTTGGCGGTGGTTTGAATGACAACTACCCCTATAGGCACACATATCCGAGTACTGGTGGAGTGTTTGGGGCCTTGTATGAGGGGGTGTGACGCTGAGGGTAAGCTCCGAGGTGTCCAAAGCACACAGCAGGCCCAGTCTCTGGTGCTCTCAGCCTCTAACCTGAAAGTAAGATTTAAGCTCTCAGCTACTGCTCTAGTGCTATGCCTGTCTAATTACTGTCTTGTTCCCACCATGATAGTCAAGGACTCACCCTCTGAAACTGTAGACAAATCCCCAATTAAAAGCTTCTTTTTAGAAGGTGCCTTGGTCATGGTATCTATTCACAGCAACAGAATAGTAACTAAGACACCAGCTAAGGTACTGACCCTGAAACTCACTTTTACTTCCATTTAAAACACAGTCTGGGTTATCTCACATTAGACTGCCTTCACCATTTTACCAGAAAAAGCAGACGGCCATCTTGTCCTCCCTGCATTACTCCCTGATGCCAACCACCATCTATTTAACTGCCTGTTTCCACACGTTTAACTCTCAGTCTCTGTTCAGATTCCATCCTAATTCCACAACTGGGGACTTCTGAATCACAACTGCTGTAGCTGAGTAACGTCACAGACTAGCGAATCCAGTGAACTCTAGGACAAAAACCTACAGTATACCAGTGGCTCTAAACTCTGAGGAAAAACTAATTGACCAGGTGTTATGAATGACCAGGGGTTACCATTTCTTCTAAAATAAAGCTTGTGACTTCTGAAGAGAAATGGAATTACAGAAAATGAAAAACAGTTGAGAATAGAAGCTGGTCTTCAAACTAATCTTTAAAAAAACAAACAAACAAACCAACAACCACCCCTAATGCCCAGGAAGACTGTCCTGATTTCCATACCAGCACTGTGGAATAAGCATGGCCCCCCCACACACACCAAGCAAATAAATAAATGATGTAATTTTTATAAAATACCCCAATGAGCAGAATCCCTTTCATAAAACCAAGAGCATTCTTCAATCATGAAACTAAGAAGTCTTTGAAACTAAATTTGGAAAAGGAAAAACAGCGTATCCTTTAAGCTCTTTTCATTATAAAAGTGTAAATATACGCAGAGGGCCCATGATAATTCTTCCCCAACAATTAACGTCTGCCTCATTTACACTCCCCTTCGGCTGAGAGAAAATGTAGAATTCCACCTCAGTTTATTAATACAGAAGACAGAATCATAGTAAAATAAGTTTATGGGAAAAAATAAGGAAGTAATATTTGTGGGTGGAGACATTATACAGCAAGATAAAATGCAAGCAATCAACAAGTGAAATACACATTTTAAGTTTAAAAGTGTTTGTCCCTGTTTTACAGTACATAGAAGAAATGCTATACTTAAATGTCAACAGAAGGGTCAGGAAGGAAACGTATGATACACATGCATTCATTTAATAAGCAATTTGAGATTATAGTAAACTATGAGTTTCATGAAAATTATTAATTTATTGAAATATGAGTATCAAAGTAAACTTTGATAATGTCCTATTAGTCTGCAAACAAAACTCTATCTACTTCCAGGCAGTTTATGTAGGCATCTGAGAATTTGTGAATGTCTCACAAGTTAGTTCTTAAATACTTAAAGGACGTTTCTCTATCATATGTATTGCTGGGCTATAACAGGAAAACATTAGCAATCATTTCTTATAATATATACTTTAAAGCAGCCTCTTATACATCCAAGCTCTTTTCTGTGAAATAGACAATATTCTAAAGGAATTGACACAGTCCAAAAAAAAAAAAAAAAAAAAAAAAAAGGTCTGGCAAAAGAGAGCAGAACTGTGGGCTGAGGGACAGTGTGTCTCATTTGGATTTTGTGTTATAGATCTCATATTCCCCTCCTGTTAGCACAAAGTCTACTCTAGCACAGCATCCTAGTTGTAATCAGGAACCCTGTTTCATTTGCTTGCTCTGCTACTAATCTCAAGTGTGACTTCAGCCACATTCTGAAAAACTGCATTAAACATCTTCCTGAGCAAAACGTTTATAATCTATCATATTTACTTGACACACGCTGTATCAAACAACATAGCAGACATTTCTTCCAAAAACTGAATGTGGGGAGAATTTGGAGTCGATCTTCCAAATTCAGTTAAAGAGGCACAGTGCAACGTTGATATGTTCCAGAATACATAAAATCGATGGCAGAACCAAGATGTCTTGAAGTCCGGCACAACTCAGAACCGACAGTCCATTTCCCCCCCATTGATACTATCTCCTAGCTGTCTTTGTAATAAAAGCTTCCAAAGTACCATCGAAGCACTAAAACTTGGGGGGGGGCAGTCTCTCAAAAAGTGAGTGATTCACCTCTACGGGTTGGTCTCCCTCTGATGGAATATCAATAAACGGGAGAGAGATGGGCCAAGAGGAAAAAGCTATTCCCACTGCAGAATAATCTGCTTCGTTAAGGAGGCTGTGTATCTTTTCCCTTGGAATGCTTCAGTTTGATCATCTTGGGTCTGAGCAAAATTAGTTCGAATGAACACTGAAGTATGTACAAGCAGTCACGAGTCAAGGCAAATCACAAGACTGGCCTGGCCTACTCATGGGAAGCAGCATCCCACAGCTCTACGGCGAGCTTTGGAGAAGTTTTCAGAGGTGCTCAAGTTCACGCCCCAGTTCCCAAAGTCTGGAAGTGAGCCATGTCAGAGGACAGGGGCCCACCACTGTGTTTTCTGGGTAAGGCCCGTGATCTCAGCGTCCCTTAAACTGCAGCGCTGTCCAGTACACCTGAGGCCAGGCTAGGGTGGACTCCGCCTCCCTACTGCAAAGTTCAGCGAGCCGACGCCTGGAGCACACAGGCCGAGACCAACCAGACACAGGCCACCCTCTTCCTCCCGGCCCGCGGGCGCGAAGGATGGCTCCGAGCTCCACACTGAGGGTGGCCAGGCCAGCGCCGAGGTCGCCCCGAACCGCACACCGACGGCGGCCTGGCCAGCGCTGAGGGCGGCTCTCTGCCAGAGCCAGCCCAGGCGTGTGCGGCCCCTCGCATCCCGCCCGCCGAGGCCTGGAAGCCGCGCCCGCATCGGGCCTACGCTCCGCCCGGCTTCCCCGGCGGTGAGGAGAGACCAGGCGTAAGCCGCGGAGCCGCCGGCCGTTCCTTACCGCTTCACCACTCCGGTCTTGATCTTGATCTGCCTCACGCGAGGATCGGCCATGGTCCCCAAGGCGCCGCAGGAAGGAGAGGCGGGACTGCGCGGCGCGCCGGCGCAGAAGGGACGGTGGAGTGGGCGTGGTGCCGAGAATGCGCGCATGCGCAACTGGCGAGCCCGACCCCGCCACGCTTCCCAACTCTTACCTGGAATCTAGGCTGCTGCTACCTAGAGTTGAAGACTCCCAAAGTCCCCTACCAGCTGTTTATCCCTTGGACAGGATTTATACACAAGCACTTTTATTTTTTTTTTCAGTTCCATAGCCTGAGTTAAGAAACTTTCTGTTCCTGAGAAAGTGGACAGGATTAGCTGCTTAATGGACAGTGTGAGTGACCTAGAAACTGTTAACAAGAATAATTTTGGTTTTCAGTATCTATTGTCAACTGGAGAAAGAGATCTGTGTTTGATGCAAATACCATTATGCAGGCAGTCAAAAGAAATCTTTATTAATTTAATTTTTTTTTTACATCCCAATCAATCCCTCCCCTCTGGTTCCCCCCCAACACACAGTGTCCCTTCCCCCTGGCCCCAAAAATGTTTGTAAAGTGTTACTTATGTGAATTGTCATGTGATGTTTGAGTTTGTGGAGAGGGGACTCTGGGGATAAGGAGGTTCCTCTTATACTACATTTTTGCAAGTTTGTTTCAAGTGTCCAGCAAGACTCCCTGTCCTGAGACATATTGGCTCCCTAAACCCTGTGACAGGGAGAGAACAGTACAGCATTGCACCTACTTGGCCTAGAGGGGAACAGCCATTTCTACCAAGCCTGATGCCCTAAGTCAAATCTGCAAGACTCAAAGTGGTAGACTGTAAGAACCAACTCTTGCAAGTTGTCCTTTGACCTCCACAAGTTTGTTGTGGCTTGCAAACATGCACAGAGTATGAAATAAATGTTTGGTTTTTGTTTTCTTAAGCCGTGTAAACATATGCCTACGTTGGCAACAAAATGGCAGAATTGCATCCACAGAGAGAGCACTGGAATCTCTCACTGGAGAACTCTGGGAGGCCTTCTCCGGTCCTTTGTGCTGGGTGTTGTAAGAACCTGGGTCAATGATGTCATTGTTTGCTCTCCTATTTAGGTTTTTGTTTTGTTTTGTTTTTTGGTTTGCTTTTGTTTTTCGAGACAGGGTTTCTCTGTGTAGTCCTGGCTGTCCTGGAACTCACTCTGTAGACCAGGCTGGCCTCGAACTCAGAAATCCACCTGCCTCTGCCTCCCAAGTGCTGGAATTAAAGGCGGGCGCCACCACTTCCCGGCTACTCCCTGCTATTTATTTGTTCATCTCCGTTTTCTGGCTACATAATTCATGAACTCAGTCATTTGAGAGCAAGGGTGTGGTTACCAAAGATTATTTTTGTATGTCACACCAAATAATCACTACCACTAGTGTATCTTAAGTATTTAACATTTTTAAAAACTGTGTGTGATGACAAAGGTGTGGGTGTATAAGTCAAGCAACCTATCTCACACACGGAGTTCCATGCTCTATCGAACATAGGAACCCTGAACTCAGCCTCCCTGAAGACGCATAGGAAACAATGCCCACCTTACGTCAGGCATGTATGTAGAGGAAAGCATCCGGCACAGTGCCTAAGCACAGCAGACCCTGGACAACTTTTGACTCCACTATATTTTCCAAGATCCAACTTGCATACAGCAAGGTACTGTGCACTGTGTTCCTCCTGTTGAAGCACCTGTATAACCCCCGAGGAATTGAGGCATGCCCCCTTGTGTCCTCATTTCTTGGTTCAGTCCTTCACTTTGTGGTCTTAACCGTTCCTGACCCTTAGTTCAGTTCATCTTCATGGCTAGTTCTGGAGCATCCTTCAGTCTTGTCAGTACAGAACCCCGGGTGTAAATCCAGTATCAAAACCTAGCTCCATGGAGAGACTTCCAGGGCTGACTGACCCCTGCCTGTGCAGTCCTCCAGGGATACATTGGTAATTTGTATTATGTGTATATTTGTTTGAAAACAATTTGGTTTGAGTTCTTTACAAGGGCTGCGCCCACTCCTTTAACTGTGCTATAAGCATGTTTAGAGACAAGAATCTTGTCTTTCATAAACCTTTCTCTTAAACCTCCATCTATGTGATGGACACAGCAGGTGCTAAATTCAATAAATACATGTCTCTAGCTGGCTGGCACACTGAACTACAATCCCAAGTGACAGAGCAGAGCTGTGAAACAGAGGAGGGGACAAACATGCAGTAGTAGAGTCATCAACGCAAAATACTGTGAAGGTAATAGAAACTGCAAACCACATCCCAGAGATACTGTGCCCGGCCTTCTGCCCTGCCCAGGCCCTTTTAGCCACCACAGGTAAAATCATTCGACTCACTACATTTTCCTTTTTTCCCAGATTTTCCAGACATTCCAAGCTCAGTTTTGTACTAGTTGGCAGGAATTTCTTTTACACACACACACACACACACACACACACACACACCCCTACTCTTTCACCTTTGAATCTGTCTTTGCCCCTTATCTCTTTGTTTTAGTTCTTGTCTATGCCTTAACTGGAAACCACTAGCTAATGTATGTAATTAATTCAGCAGCTAAAAGACCATTGTTGCTGCGGCTGCTTCATGTATCCAGTTCCAGGCCCCCCAGGACAGTCTGTATTTATCTATCTGTGTACTCTGCATCACATTTGGGTGGCTGTAAGGTAGCAACGTGGAGTGTGGCAGCAGAAGGGAATGAGACGGCCTTGTCCCAACTTCGTGAGCTCATAGTCTCAGTTAAGGATATATGTTTGGGAACCAGACCAACCTGGGTCAAGTCCCAGCTCCTCTGTTCACTAACTGCCACGCTGAACAAGTTACTTAACCATCTCTTGACAAGTGTCCTTATCTGTAAAATATAGAAGATGGTACTAATACCAACCTTATAAGGTTTTCACGGAACTCAACTGAGTGCTGGTGTTTATTAGGCCACATATAAAATGCTTGTTGAACAAGACATCTGGGGAAGACGTCCTAAATTAGGAAGTGTGCTCACAGAAGGATATGAACATAGACCTGTGAATGTGATCAACAGCAATGAGATAGGACTGGGTTAGAGTTTGATCATTTCATCTGACAAAGACCATGGTTAACTTATTCACCATCGTATCCCAACATGTAGCCATACCTGGCACATAGTAGGCACAATGTTTTAGGCCTTTCTCCTTTACTTCTTTTTCTTTTCTTTTTGACAAGGTATAGCTACATTGCCCAGATTGCCCTTGAATACACTATCCTCCTGCCTCAGCCTCCTGAGTTGATGAGATTATAAGCAAGGGCCATTATGCCTGGCAGTATACATTTCTTCAATAAATAAGTAAGCTGCTTTGAAGAGCTGTTTGGTTTCCATTTAACCATATGTCACAGAGACTGCTCACTCCAGCAAGATGATGACAACGACAACCTAAAATACCCTCACATACACCTATCTTCCTCTCTGCCTTGCTCTGACAGACAGCTACAGAGGCAGCTCAGAGGACAAAGTGATGCTCTAAGAGTGTCAACACCTGAGCTCAGATCCCCAGAACCCAAGCATGGCAGTGTGCTCTTGTAACTCCAGCGCAGGGATGGGGGAGATGGTACAGACTGGAGGATCCCCAAGACTTGATAGCCAGCCAGCCAGGCCAAAGCGAGACACCATCGCAAAAAGAATATGGGAAGCAATAGAGGAAGAAACACAGAGTCAACTTTTGGCATCTATATGTGCCTACACAGAAGAGTGCACCCATACATACTTGCACAAATATGTATGCATATACTATATAGGCAGACAGACAGATGGACAGACAGACGGACAGACAGACAGACAGGCAGGCAGGCAGGCAAAGAAAGAGATGGAAGGAGGAGAGAAATGTGCAGAAGAGGCCAGAATTACCCATAAACCTTGTAAATCTTATGTCTTCATGTCACTACTGATCAGAGAGCTTCTAACACAGGGGAGACACTCAGTACCCAGGCTGACATGGTGACAGCTAAAGGTATCACACAGCCCTGAGGTGCTGGTCTTTGATCAGAATAGCTAAAATGGTAGGGGTGGGGGTACAAGCCACAGCAGACAGCCTGAAGGATGGGTAAGAATTCCTGCCTCCTGGTATTTATACCCTTGTGTAACCGTCACTCCACAGATATGGACATGTTGACTCCGTTATAACTAACAGTGTTTGAGAGAAGTTACCTTTTACAGTTAGATTTTTTTAAATGGTTCTCATTTTGTGTACATTTTCTCAGTCCCCCCCCACACACACACACACAGGAATCCATGGAGGAAGCTCACCTAAAGCTCTTCAGCCATGTCTCTTCTGGAGATGACTCAAAATGATTGCAAAAACAATGTTGACTGTTCCTTGAGATGGCCCTCATGGCCTTCTAGTTTTCCTTAGACCAAAGTACATAAGGCTCTCTTCAGCGTAGGCATAGGAGCAAGGCTCTGGTTCTCAACTATTGACTCTACAGTTTCAGTGAATGTCAAGGGTCTGCTCTACACCTGGTTCTGACCACTGGTGATACAAGGACACGGCGGAGACATATCCTAAAGGGCGGAGGAAGTTAGTGTGAAGCATAGTTCCTACCACACAGCAGCGATTCCACAGGTAATTAATAATAAACAATAAACGTCAATCGCAATTATTAATCACAGTAGAGATTGTGATTACTGGCATTGAAAAACACAGATATTTGCATTACAGTTCATGATTGTAGCAAGACTACAGTTATGAAGTGGCAACAAAAATAATTTTGTGGCTGAGGGGCAGCACAACATAGAGAGCTGTATTGAAGGTTGGGAATCATGCTCTAAGATTTACAGGCCAAGAAATGTATACAACTATATTGAAATTGTCTTGACTATTGTGCCTGGTCCACATACTGCTAAAAATCAATAATTTCTCTTCTTTAAGAAGAATGGAACTTGCAATCCCAAATGAGAGGGTCTTGACTTTGCACCCCAGATCTCAGACTAGTTTCCCTGTTTTTAAATTCTATGGAAATTCAGTGTCTCTGTTACTGTTCTACTCCTGTCAAGAAGTACCATAACCAAGGCAACTTATAAAA